ACTGCAAGGCTGCCATCTCCTTCTCCAACCAGCCAGCCATCCGCGTGGCAGCTGAGGAGTCGTCTGTTACTTCACACCGTCCATGATGCTCTCCTGGCTGCTCAGTCTTCTTCTCTAGACTGTGAGCTCTGCCTCATTGTTGTGTTGATAGGCAGTACTTAAGTGTCCTATCACTAATGTATATGAAGTGATTGTTTGAAAATGACGGAATATGGAGTAGGGAGTTAGAATTGTCAGTAACATGCCTAATATTTTTGTCTAAAGATGCGTAGTGTTCTGAAAATGTATGGGAAAGTTAACCTAGTATTTTCTCAGGGCCTTGATTTTTTTTTTTTAAATATTTATAGCTACACATCTAAAACCTTTCTGAGAATCAAGTAGATTAAATAACTTGGTCATGATTACTAGTAGGTCTTAGATCTTTATACTCAAACCTATGTCTGAATTGAAACAGCTCCTTTATATATCATGGTGCCTAATTGTTGATCAGACATAGAATAGTTTATTTGGAATTTTCATGATTCATTATTTAGTCTCAAAATTTTCTTTTGGCATTTACGTTGTATTTTGATGATAGATAGATACATAGAACCCTAGTTTCATGATAAATTATATAGTGATAAGGTATTTTAAACTTTGCTGTGGTTCTTGTGGAATGTTCATCATATAGTGGATAGAGCCTTCTTTGTATTTCTTTTGATTTCATCTCTCGGCATTCTCATATAGCTAACATACATGTCTATGTTACATGAATAGATGTCTTACTGCTTAGCATTTTGAATGTTAAAGCATACTACAGATCAGATGTTATAATGATGGAAATAAAAGGGATGGGTTTATGTATACCTCATGAGGAAATGAAGATTTGTGAAATTGTTCTAATTTTTTCCTGAAAGTCTTTTAATCTCAGAATCATGTGTGAGGCACTAGTCAGAATCCTGGGTAAGGAAGTGAAATATAAAACATGTGGTTTCCTGTTCCTGTTGTAAAGAAGTTTATAAGCGAGTAAAGTGAGGAAAACCCAGTTTTTACAGATGTAGTCAATAGTAACAGTATAACATTTTACAATGCAAATTGTGAATGACTTAGAATTATAATGGCTACAGAATTCAGCAACAGGAACAAAATCATCAAATTTGTGGATGATTCTTAAAGGATGTTTGGCATTTGAATATAGGGGAGTACAAGTGATAAAACACGATTTGACTCTGTCTACCTAAGGCCAGACTTTTCTTTCTAGGTGGCTAGTAGCAGGGTTTAATTGCTAGATTGCCTGTTGCCTAGTACAGTTGTTTCTCTAATCCCTGCCGCCTCTCCTACCAGAAGAAACATAAGGGCATGATTTTTTCTCCTCTTAAAATACAATTCATTCCTATTAAAACATCTGTCATATCAAGAAGTATATAAGGTTATATTATGTGGCCCCAGAACTTTCTCTGTACTACCTACAAGGGCTTTTTGGTCTGGTCTTGCTTACCTCACCAGTCTAATCTCTCACTCGTCTCATGCACCCTTTAGTTCCTCCAAACGTCCATGTTCCCTTTTGCCTCCAGGGTTTGGAGTAGTGGTGCCTTCTGCCTGGATCACTGCCCGTGTCCTTATTTTCTCATCTTTGGAGCCTCAGATTAGTTACAACATTTTTTCCTACGTAGCCTTCTTTTACCTTCCAAAAAATTAAATGAGATGCTCCTCCTGAATGTTCCCAAGGCATCCTGACCTCACCTAACCTGCTGTAATTTCCAATAAACAAGCTTCTTCAGGTCAGAAATCTTCCATTCCCCTGCCCCTCTCCCCACTGCCCTGTACTCAGCGCACTAATACATTTTTAATGACTACTTGTTGAGTAGAAAAATGTCTTTGAAGTTAGGCCAGACACCTTTTAGGTGTCCACAAAATAACATCTAACAAGTACGTTTATTTTTTTTTAAATAATTTCTATTGCTGGTTTTGAACTATTGTAACTGATGATAAAATATAACCATCCATGTGAACATCTTAATATGCAATGAATTTTGCTATAGTAAACTTTCATATCATATTTGTTACCTTAATAGTAAGTTCTTCTATTAATAATGCTAAGCCAGCTATTTTTGGTATGTGCGTGTGTGTAATTACATGTTACAGGTTTTCTATCATTGTATTTTTACTGTTTTTGTTTTAGACTTACCTCTTGTAAGCCACGTTTACCTAGATTTAATCTTTTTGTATTTATTTTGAAAACCTCTACTTTTAATAGGTGGTTTTAATACATTTGTAGTTATTGTAGTTACATTCATTTGGACTTATTTTTAGCATTTTTATGTGTTTTCCATTTTTATTCTTTTCACTTTTTATGTGTTCACCTTAAATTAGATGATAGTTTTATTTTTTATTTTCTTCTCCTTTTTCAAATATTATAGACTATATTTATTTTTTTATGTACACCATTAAATTTTTTGATACATATTTAATTGAATGTTACCAATAAAGTCTAGAGTTATTCAGCTTTTTCCTACCGATCTGTATTCAGTGGTCCTAGTGTGCTTTAACTATTACCTAAATATTTCCTTATCCATCTTACTTTTTTAACCCTCAGAAATTGTTTTTTAAATGATCAACAGCATCTTATCAGTTTCCCTGATAACTTATTTCATGTAGCTCTCCCTTTTTCTTCTTGATGAACTGTATTTTGTCAAGACTCATCAATAGGTAGGAATTTTTCTTCACCTTTGTATGTCTAAAGAATACTTTTCCTTCTTTCTTGAATGATGGTTTGGTTGTATATTAAATTCTAGATAATTATATTTTCTCAGCTTTTTGAAGATGTTATTCCATTGTCTTCTGACCTCTGTTACAGCTGCTGAGACCTATCCTCTTAGTCTGTCATTCCATGGATGTAATCTGTTTTTTTTCCTCTCTGATAGTACTTAAGATTGCATTTTTATTGTTGATAGTAAGTATATGGTTTCTCCACAGTCTGTTTAGTGTGGATTTGTATTTGGCAGTCTAATAATTTTTTCTGTTTAATATTTTAAGCAAGACATAACTGGCATGAAATCTAAGCCTAATTAATTTTTACATACATATAACCAGGTTACCACCACCCAGATCAAGATTGTAGAATATTTTCAGCAAGCGACAAGACTTCCTCTGCCGTCCTAGTCAACACACCGTAGAGAACCAATATTTTAAACTCATATAGAACTGCATTGAGGGCACATCTCTCTTTTCAGTTCTGGGAAATTTTCAGCCATTACCTCTTTTATTTGCCTCTCCATAATTCCCTACATTCTCTTTTCTTGGAACTCCCTTAGACAAGTGTTGCAGTATCAATCTTTGTCTTTCAACTGCTCTTTTCTATTTTTATTTCTTTTTGACTACCTATATTAAGCTCCAGCTTGTTTCTTAATGCTATCTTTGATTTACTTATTCACTCTTTCACCATATCTAGATTGTTGAGTGTTTCTTTTTATTTCTGTGACTCTATTTTTCATTTCCAAGATTTCTTTTAGTTTTTTTCCTTTCTACCTGATATTTTATTTCTGTGCATTATTTGAAATCCCTTATTCTTGTGTTAGATCTTTTACTTTCATTTATAATTCTGAACATCCTCAAGATATTGATTTTAAAGTTTTTGGCAGGTTGCACTAAGAAAATTTCATCTTAAGTGAATTTCCATTGTAATTGTTGATTATGTGATTTTCTTTCTTAGCATTATATTTCTTCATGTCTTGGAGCTTTTGCCATTTACTTTTTTTTTTTAATAGGGCATGTTTTATTTATTTGTTTGTTTGTTTGTTTGTTTGTTTTGTTTATACATGCACTGGGTACAGTCAGAAGCGCGGGAGGGTGAGAGAATTCACCAGAGCCAGAGCGGGGAGCAGAGCAGGCAGAAGGACTGAAGTACACTGCTGAGGGGAGCAGCGGGTGGCAGGAGAGGTCTGCGCGCCATGTGGGACCCTCCTCCGGTGGCCAGAGAGCAGCCTGGGATCGAACCGGCACTTCAGAGGCCGCGGGCAGCTTCGCAACCCAGCGCTCAACCGCTGTGCCACGGGGAGGCCCTGCCATTTACTTTTGCGTGGAAGATTTTAGTTTTTGTTTTGATGTCTTCCTGCTCACTATCCTCCTCCTTCCCCTACTCTCATCTTGGGATTTTACTATTGATATTGGACATAGAACAGATATAGTAATGGAATGAGAGGGAACTTGACTGGGTTCCTAGTATTGAGACAGTGTTTTTCTTCCCTACATTCCTAGACACACTATTCTGATTAAAGCTATATTCCTAGCCAACAGATTTTGATTCCCCATTTTACCAGCCTTAGCTTCAAGTAGTGAATCTGATTGAGGAGCCCTGTTTTCAGCAAGTCACTTGAAGGTCCTTTTACTCTAAAGGAAACCACTGTACTTGTCTTCTACCCAGCCTGCTTCTAGGTCTGGAAACCAGGAAGTCCAGTCCTGCTCAATGTTTTTGACGTTCCATTAAATTTTGTTATACCAGAACATTTCTAATTTGACCTCGTTGTGTTTTTCTCTCTTTTTGCTTAATATGTTTTATTCATTTGTACTCTGTGGTGCTAATATGATTTCTGAACTTGACTTATAAGATGTTAACCCAGAATTGCTGTTATTGTAAAACTTCTGTCTTAAGGAATAACAGTCAAAATATATTTTAAAAGGAAGGAGTGTGTGGGACCTAGAATTAATTTGTTTGAAGATATGCATTCCTTGCTATCATCTCTAAAATGCAGTATATTTTTAATATTTGTTTTGTGATCACTTTTTTATTATAACAAATGTATGTCAACTATAGAGTTGTTGGAAAATACAACAAAGCATCCATATATTCTTATAAAGAAATACACAAATATGGTGAGAATTACTAATAATTCCACAGCTCAGAAATAACTACTGAGTAATTTGGGATTTATTATTCATGTAATCACACTGTAGTCACACACCAACTCCTATGCTAATATTCATATTTTAAAAAACAAAACAAACCCAGTCTTGTTTTGCAGGTGAAGCTGTGAGTGCTGGAGATGCCTTATGTGAAATAGAGACAGACAAAGCTGTGGTTACCTTAGATGCAAGTGATGATGGCATCTTGGCCAAAATAGTGGTAAGTTTTTATTTTGATTGTCTTCAACAGGATGCGGATTTCTTAAATATAAAGTGCCTTTAAATAAAGTTACCTTTTGGGCCTCCCCGGTGGCGCAGCAGTGGAATGCTGGGTTGCGAACCTACGCGCAGCCTCTGCAGCGCCGGTTCGATCCCCGGCTGCTCCCCGGCCACCGGAGGAGGGTCCCACATGGTGCGCAGACCTCTCCTGCCACCCGCTGCTCCCCTCAGCAGTGTACTTTGGTCCTTCTGCCTGCTCTGCTCCCCGCTCTGGCTCTGGTGAATTCTCTCACCCTCCCGTGTTTCTGACTGTACCCAGTGCTTGTATAAATAAATAAATAAATAAATCTTTAAAAATAAATAAATAAAGTTACCTTTTGTTTTTACTCTGTTTATAATGCATTATCTGCTGCATAATATTCTTTAGATGTTTAAGATGTATTAATGGTAAGGTCTAATAATAATGATCAGACAACTTAGAATTATTTCAACCATGAAAATAGTACTCAGTGTTTTGAGTTCCCTAGTGGAGAATGAGAAGCATTCTGGCTGAGGGATGATAGAAGATGGTAAGTTAAAGCTTTGAGATACATGTTTGTATATGATAACAGCAAAAGGAAGAAATGTTTTACTCTCATCACATAAAACAAGAACTCCTGTCTTCATTGAATGCAGGACTGCTCAGGCTGGTGTGTATTAAATGATTGTCTGCTCAGTTCTAATTCTGTCCTGTGCAAAGTTTTGTCACTTAGTTACCTGTCCAATTCTTACTCATCCTGACAATTTGGACATTTTTTTATAATCATTTAAAGTATATATTATCAGGAATCATATGTATAGAATATCTTATGAGGATACAATTGAATGACAAACTTGTCTGTTGGTGGTGTATTTTCAGTTCCCTGAGCATTTTAATGGAAAATATGATTGTAGGGCTAGCAAGACCAAAATTACTCCCTTATAGACCTAAATTTTGATATGTCCAGTAATTTTGAGTACTCTGGACAAAATTCGCTTTATAACTAATTAAAACTGGAGGTACAACTTGGATACTTTAGCATTATTACTGGAAGCTGAAGTTAGCACAGCACTTTAACCAAAATGTGTACCAAAGCAAGAGTGGTTACTTCAATAATAGAAGACAGTATAGAATACATGTAGCCATTAAAATTTTTTTACAAGAAAAATAATGTGATTTCTTTATACATTAGTAAAAGCTCAACAATTTTTTGGAAAAACTGCTTTTAATTTCTATGGAAGTGATTACAATCTCCTAGGACTTTAGGAAAAACAAATATGAGAAAGATTAGAATAAAACATTATAAAAATGTTGAACATTCTTGGGGAAGAAGTGATCCTTCTGCCCCATGTTTTCTATTTTCTGTAATACTTTTGCTGTTTTATGTGGGATATTAATTTATGTAAAAAATAATATAAAATACTTGAAGCATGATTACTTTGGGTAACATGGTATATGCACTCATGGAGCATGCTCCTTAACTTCTAGAACATTTAATAATAGATAATGGGGTGTGGCAGCTGAGGTTATAGGCTCTTAAGTAACACTTCTGCCTGATTCTTATATAGACAATAAGTTCTTCTAGTTAATAGTTACATAAAGATTAAAAGATTCTTCCTTTGTGTATTTTATTCAAAGACCACACTTTGGAATGTTTTGCTCTAATTAGATGTAGATGTATACAGAGTTTTTTCCTTCGTGTTTCTAACTTGAAAATCCCTTTTCCTTTATTTAGTCGCTTATATTTTATTTTTGACCTTTTGATTCATCAAACTTTCTTGTCGTCTATAATTTGATATTAACAGCCATGTTAAAATGTTGAAAATACTTTCTTAGAGGAAATATGAATGGAAGTCTAAAATTTCTGTGCCTTTCAAATTAGGAAAATATAACTATTAGTACTAAAAATAGTTTGTGGGACTAATTTATGCAGCACTTTGAAAAAAAATTGTTTGAATTACCATATGTAATAAACCCAGCTACATTTTATTGTGTGTGCTTTTGGCAAGCTGTGTTCTTGGCCCTAGTTCTGGATTGTTTGACTATGATAGTCTTCCAGAATTGATAGCATTTTTCCACTTAGCTGCTTAATAATGCATTTTAAATTGCTACCAATGTCATAGGTCCAGAGTGCCTGTTCATCCCTTTCTTATGCTCTGAAAAGGTAGGGTCCTGGGAGGTTATGATTGATAGCAGCTTTAGAGCACAAATAGCTATTTCCTTGCCAAAAAAGAGATTGTATGTATATTTTAGGGCTTTGTGGCTTTATTATTATTCCACATGCTTTTCAAATAATAGGGTTGGGAATATATCCTTGTCACAATGCATATAATTTTATGGGGGTAAATTATTATGGTGGTATTATAGGTTGTTATTGTTTTTGTTTTAAATCATTTGCCCTATTCCAATCCCAAACTCCAAACTAGCAAGTTACACCTTTATCTTTTATTGTGGAATAATTCTTACATTAGCTCACATAATAAAATGACTTTTATAGTACATATAAGAGATATTTACCTTAAAAATTAAGGAGTTGGATAACTGAGCTTATGAAAAGGCGAGTGGTAATATAAACCTTCAATTTTTAGTTTGCCCCTATTTTTGAAAGATTAGAAATTATAAACTCTTTTGCTCATTGTAAGGATTTATTTCCACATTCTCTGAGAGATTTCTGTATTCCCTCTTCCCTGACAGTTTCACTCATTTCTTTGTACTCTTACAGTTTTTGCATCTAAATTCGTTTTAAGTATGAAATGATTATATTGTATAGCAATTAGAACAAGAACTTAGAATAATTATTGAATATAGATAATTTGTAATTTACTTCCAATTTAGTTCAGTTAATGGGAGAATTGTGAAATTTTCATTTAATCACTACTAAATTGTTATGCAAAAAACCTTAAATTATTACACACATTTTAGTTCATAAATTTAGTCTTAAAAATTTATTATCCAGCAAATTGGACAGCAGGTGTTTTAGATGATAAATTAATAAGATAGACCATTAAAATGACATACTTGAAGATTATCTAGTTTGACTTCTAACATATTTAGGGTTATCATATAATTTTTCATACAAACAGGATACCTCTGAGAGTGAAACAGGTGTAGGATATTATTGTTACTTAAACTTGTATATAATATTTATGAATTATAATTTATGTTCTCCATGAATTAAAAGCTAAGTCAGTTGTAATCTACCCTATATCTTTTCTTTGAAACTTGTTTTTAAACATAGTATTAAATACTGATCATTTTAAATACTACCTCTAATGTCAAAGCACATATCAGTTCTGGCTTATTTCAATACTAGCTTTGTGCTCCTGAACAAGTTACTTAACCTTTCTGTGCCTCAGTTTTCTCATGTATAAATAGGAATGATAGTAGCCCTTACTGTCATCGGAGAGTTAAATGGAGTTAAATCTGCTAGAGCATCACTTGAAAGCCAGACAGGCTATTATTCAATGACTAACCATTTCTTCATCCCCTCTGCATTTTAGCATGTCGTTAACTTGTTTTCAGCTTCAGTGTTTCTTGTGAATTCTTCATTTTAAACCAAAGTTCATTGTGTGTGAAAATTAAACTGTATGTGTTAAAGAATAAAAATAATTTATAGCTATTAGTGGTTCAAAACATGATTTCCAAACCATAAATTTCAGACCACATCAGTTGTGTGACTCAGTTCATCTCCACTAACTACTGTGCATGCTCCCTCACTACCCACTTAGCAGCTTTCAAACTGTTATGAAGAAAAATATTTTAATAATTAGTTACTTTATTTTTTTTTTTAATGTCAGCATCAAGGCAGAATTATTTACCAGCACCTTTAATGGAATGAACCCCTTCAGACAACTTCTCTGTGTGGAGATATTGCTGTAGGTATTTTGTATCTTGACTTAAGCATCCCAAATCCTTGAGTCCACTGATGAGCTAGGTGGTCTGTACTTAGCTAACTTCCAGGTGATTCATGGCAGCCTTCAGAGCTGTCTCTGATAAAGGGCTCAAGGCCTAAGATTGCAGTTTTACCTCTCTATGGTTTCTATAGAGAGATAGTTTGTCACAGGCCTTACTATCCCTATGTCTCGTGTGATGCTGTTTACGAAGTAGTACCGCCAGTTCCATGCAGGATGATCTTTAGGCTTAAATTTCTAAGTCTTACCAAGAGGCACTCCTCTATAATTCATCTTGATCCATGTTGAGTGTATTATTTTTTGTTTTAAAAATCAGTAACTTGGAGGGAAACATCGTTACCACAATAAAAATAATACCTTTTGCATTTATGTAGCTGTTACTAGATGTCTTGTGTATAACTCCTATTTTCTCATAACCACTCTGTGACATAGCTGCTATTACTATTTTATTTTATTTTGCAGTTGAAGAAACAGTCATGGTGAGATTCTAGTAAGTAGCAGGGCCAGTACAGATAGCCAGGAAGTCCATAGGAAACTGGGAGGGAAGGCTAACACTGAATGACAGACAGCAGATCCAATATGTCAGCATGAGTGAGCTCTTTGGCAGGGCTAAATTTTATTATAATTATAATAAAGTAAAAGTCAAAATCAACAAGCAACTATAAACCAGAGTCACATTATGGTGGGGAGAGAGGGAGGGATTAGGGTCAAAATAAGGGGGTTGGGAATTGTATGGGGAATATAACAATGAAAATGCATCCATTGTGCAAAAATGAAAAATGATGTAAAAAATATATAAAATAAAATAAAAAATAAAAAAATATTTATCTGAAAAAAAAAAGGTATCCTGCCATTAAATATTAAGAAATCAGTGGCACAAGAGTAGGAGAGAGCAAGTCAATCAAGTGCCTGGGAAACTACCTGGGCGTTTGAGGTGCCTTCGAGCTCCAGAATAGTGGCACCCACTGTATCCGCAGTGCTAACTTAGGGGGAGCAGTAGCAAAGGCTCATTTGGTTTCTAAATAGTTTTTGAAAGCACTTTATTTACTTGTTACTAAATCTGCACCAGCTTTAAACATTTGTTGACTACAACATAAGTAAATGTTTACCAAAAATCTAGCCCATCTCTAAAAGAATTACACTAAGGCAATAGAAAAGGTCAGTGAAATTATCTTAAACTTGTGATTATAATGACTTTAAATGGGACTGTAATAAACATTTATTTTAAATTTCTGTTACACATTCAAGTTTGATAATGTATCATGTGCCCTGTCTATGTTATTTGGGGTTCATGCTTCATGGTATTATTTTTTAATGGGAAAATGTTATTTGATATTTAGGTATAGTAAAAATTGAAACCATACTAAATGCTCCTTATTGCTTATTTGTGTATGTATCAACTGGTAGTGTGTATATATATATATATATATATATATATAAATCAATTGTATGATTTATTGTGGTAATGAAACAGATTACATTTAGAGTCCAATTCATATTTTAGAAATCTATCAATATTTTTATTTCTTTGTTTCTTTTTTTTATTTAAATATTTTATTTTAAAAAAAAAATAAATATTTTATTTTATATAATTCTTACATCTTTTTTCATCTTTGCACAATGTATGCATTTTCATTTTGGTTATATTCCCCATACAATTGCACCCCCCCCTCCCTTATTTTGACTCTAGTCCTTCCCTATCAATATTTTTAAAGGACAACTTTTTTTTTTTTTAATGCTTTGCGTTTGACTGATGTTCTTTGTATGTGGATATTGATCCTATTTCTGGCTCTGTAAACTTAGTAAACTTAGAAAGATTCTTAGCTGGGCCTCCCCTGGTGGCGCAGCGGTTTAGCGCTGGGCTGCGAAGCTGCCTGCAGCCTCTGCAGTGCCTGTTCGATCCCCGGCCACCGGCGAGGGTCCCACATGGCACACAGGCCTGTTCTGTTCCCCACTCTGGCTCTGGTGAATCCTCTCACCCTCCTGCGCTTCTGACTGTACCCAGTGCTTGTATAAATAAATAAATAAGTCTAAAAAAAAAGAAGAAAGATTCTTAGCTCGTAGAACTTATGCCTTATTATTTTAAGAATAGTGCACATAATAATAAGCATCAGAATTAATGTTTCTTGGAAATGTCAAACCCAATCTCAAAGTTATGCTTTTACTTAAAAATTACTATATTATTGAAGTCCTGTAGCCTATAATTCTGTTATTCATTAAATTACATCTGTAATGAACCTCATTTAAAGTAATTGAGGGAAATAATAGAAAAATTTTAAGAGTGACATTTCTTCCAGTACTGAGAATATCAAATATTGTCATCCGAAGGTTCTTTAGGGACCCTATTTTTAATTAGTAAATAAGAATTGAATCAACCTTTTATAAATTAATGCTGCTGAAACAAAATGTGATTTTAATTGCTACCAGCTATGAGAAAATATTTGCTTAGCTGAAACACCGCTGTTTCTGATATAGTTATGAAGAATTTTATTTTATTTTGCAGACCTTGTCAATATCCAGGGAAGAGTTAGATATAAAAATGAAAATTACATTTAAAGATTAATCCAAATCTATTGTACTGGCTTTCCCTGGTGGTCTAGTGGTTAGGATTCGGCGCTCTCACCAAATCTATTGTACAATTGATTTTTTTTTCCAGAGACTAAGTTTACTGAAACAGTTTTACTTTAAATTAATTTTAGTAAATGAGATTAATTTAGGAAAGTTAATCCCTTAAGAACTTTTGAAATTTCTAAACCATTGTGTAGATATTATCTGAGAAAGACAAATAATTAAGATATGTAACCACAGTCTTCTGTTTTGGATTTGTACTGTTTGACATAAAAAGGAATATAATATTGACCACTTTATATATTTGAAGAATCAAAAAGAGAAGAGCTTCCAGATTTATTCCTTTTATTTCAGGAGGTAGCAGTAAACGGGAGAGGGGGAGTTGTGAATGAAGGTATCTGTCTGTCTGTCTATCTATGCACATATCAGGGAAATTAAAAAAGGAACTTGGGGATCGAAGGAAGAGTGACTTGGAAGTATATTTTAGCTCTAATTAAAAGCTCTTTCTAACCAGTAAAGAATTATCCAACAAAGGTGTACACTACTTCATAAGGTCATGACCCTTTCCATTTCTGTAATAATTTTCTTCTTAAAATACAGGTTGAAGAAGGATCTAAAAATATACGGTTAGGGTCACTAATTGGTTTGCTGGTTGAAGAAGGAGAAGATTGGAAACATGTTGAAATTCCCAAAGATATAGGTCCACCACCTCCAGCTTCAAAGCCAGCGGCGCCTCCTCCCTCACCAGGACCACAAGTTTCCCTCCCTGCCAAGAAGGAACATGCACCCGGGAAACTGCAGTGAGTATGTTTATGTGAATGGTGATGAAAAAAATATGGCAGCAACTGTTAGGGTATTTTAATGTATAGTTGAAACATCTTTGTCCATTAAGAGGGAAGTTGTTGATCTTCCTTTTAATCTCTTAGGAAACTGACACCAAGGGATGACTATTTTACTACTACTGTTCATTCACCAAGGGTACCTGTTATGTTATAGGTGCTGTGAAAAAAGTGCTCACTCAGCAGAAAATAAACAGTCCATGGTATACTTGAATTTAGTTTTAGGTTTCCAGAATGGAATTCAGTACACTAAACTTCAGATTGTATTCCCGTTTGTGGAATTCTAATTATTATAGAGTGAATTTCAGTTTTAAACTGATATAAAATGGAATTAACATTTAACTTGCTTTCCTTTCCCAGCTGTTCTGTGGAGTATCTATCACAGATCAGAGCCCAGTTTTGTCCTCTTATCCTGTAACCATTCTGATAGTTAATAAATACCATTATCCTTCAGCATTATATAGCTTTACTCATGTACTTTGGAAATTCCAATATGTTTTACGTATTTGTTTTTAATATTCTTTCCAATTATATAAAAATACGTTTTCTTTATAAGGAAAAGTTCTTTGTAAAGGTCTCATTAAGAACTGCTTTTGGGGCCTCCCCTGGTGGCACAGCGGTTGAGCACTGGACTGCAAAGCTGCCCGCAGCCTCTGCAGTGCCAGTTCAATCCCCGGCCACTGGCAAGGGTCCCACATGATGTGCAAACCTCTCCTGCCGCGCCCGCTGCTCCCCTCAGCAGTGTATTTCATCGGTCTGCCTGTTCTGTTCCCCTCTCTGGCTATGGTGAATTCTCTCACCCTCCCGTGCTTCTGACTATACCCAGTGCTTGTATAAATAAATAAATAAATCTTTTAAAAAAAATGCTTTTGAACTTAAATGAAAATGTAAACCCTTTCAATTTGTGTCAGAAAAAAATCAGTGTTTATGAAGTGTTAAGTTTTTTTTTTTTTTAAAGATTTATTTATGCATATAAGAAATGGGGTACAGGCCAGAGGTGCAGGGGATGAGAGGATTCACCAGAGACAGAGAGGGGAACAGAACAGGCAGATTGAAATACACTGCTGAGGGGAGCAGCGGGCAAGTCAGGAGAGGTCTGCTGCGCAATGTGGGTAGCTTCCTTACGAGGGATGCTGCAGAGGCTACAGTTAGCTTCATAGGTTACGTCTTAACCCTTTGCGCCACCAGGGAGGCCCATGAAGTGTTAAGTTTTAATTCCTGTTACCACACACAGTATTTCTTACTCTATTGCCTAAAACTCCCCTTTATTTTATCAGATGGGGGATCATGGGTGTTTTTTACTTAATGCTCTTCTTCGCTTGTGAAGATGATAATGTGTATTTGTTCTGGCATTCTGCTAGCCCCATCATTAAAGACTTTACATGGATCTAAAACTCCACAGTGTCAGTTGAAGATGGAAAAACCCGTGAGCCAGTAGTATTGACCCACACGGTGATCTTTTATAAAAAAAAATTAGTTGAATGGTTATTAATTTATCTTACATAAAAATCTAAAATTTCAGTTTCTTGAAAAATCTGAAGATTTGGTACCACTGAGCTCATATCAAATAGAGCCATTTTTCCTTGAAAAGCAGCAAATGCCAGATTTGTTCCTTTCTATTTTTTTCTAGTTCCAGTCTCTTTTACTCATTTTCTTCTTTACCTTGCTATGTAGTCATTTGTATTAGCTGGTTTGCAAATAAACATGCTTTCATGCAGATACTAAGAACTTTAAAAAATATATGAGGGATACAATTCAACAATAATAAAACAAACAACTTAAAGCAGGCAAAGGACTCCGATGCGCATTTCTTCTAAAGAAAGATGTGCTTGTGGCAGATAAACACATGAGAGGATGCTCAGCATCACTCATTGTTAGGGAATTGCAAACCAGGGCCACGTCACACATTAGCATGACTGTTATAAAAAAGGAAATACTTATTTCGCTGAGCATGATCCCTTCCAGCGCCATCCATGTTGCTGCAAATTGCATGTGTTTATCTTTTTTGAATGCTGAGTAATATTCCATGGTATATATGTACCACATCTTCTTGATCCAGTCATCTATTTTTGGGCATTTGGGTTGTTTCCAAAGCTTAGCTATTGTAAACAGTGCTGCTATAAACATAGGGGTGCAGGTGTTCTTTGGAATTGATGTTTCTGTAAGCCAAAAAGAAAAAGAAAAATACCGGATGGTCTCACTCATAGCAGGAATCTAGAAAACTTAAATAAGGGACCAGGAAAATGAATAACTATAAGAAAGTGAAAATCAAAATCAACAAAAAACTATGAACCAGAGACACTTTTAGGGGGGCGGGGGCGGGAGGGGAGGGATTGGGGTCAGAATGGGGGGGCTGCAATTGTATGGGGAATATAACAATAAAATTTATAAAAAAAAAAAAATAAACTGTCAATGTTCAAAAAAAATAAATAAATAAAAATAAAATTTTGTTTTACTATGAAAAAAAAAAAAAGGAAATACCGGGCCTCCCCGGTGGCGCAGCGGTTGAGCGCTGGGTTGCGAAGCTGCCCGCAGCCTCTACAGCGCCGGTTCGATCCCCGGCTGCTCCCCGGCCACCGCAGGAGGGTCCCACATGGCGCGCAGACCTCCCCTGCCTCCCGCTGCTCCCCTCAGCAGTGTACTTCGTCGCTTTGCCTGCTCTGCTCCCTGCTCTGGCTCTGGTGAATTCTCTCACCCTCCCGTGCTTCTGACTGTACCCAGTGCTTGTATAAATAAATAAAACAAAATCTTTAAAAAAAAAAAAAAAAAGGAAATACCTGTTGACAAGGATGCAGAGAAATTAGAATTCTTGTGCAATGCTGGTGGGAATGTAAGATGGTAAAGTCACTGTGGAGAACAGTATGACAGGTCCTCAAAACATTGAATTGAATTGAATTGAATTACCCTGATCCAGCCATTCTTCTTCTGAGTATAAACTCAAAAGAATTGAAAGCAGAGGCTCAGAGATGTTTGTGCCCCCACGTTTATAAAGACATTGTTTGCAATAGCCAAAAGGTAAAAACAATTCAGTGAACAAAATGTGCTATTATATAAAATGGAAATGTCTTCAGCCAAAATAGGAAGGAAATGCCGATGGATTCTACAATATAGATGAATCCTGAAGACACTGTGCTATGTAAAACAAGTCAGTTACAAAAGGAACATACAGTATGATTCCATTTATATGGGTTACTTAGGGAAGTCAGATTAGTAAAGACATAGCATTGATGGTTACCAGGAGCTGGTGAAGAAGGGATGGGGAATTTCTCTTTAATGGGGACAGAGATTCAGTTCTGGAAGATAAAAAAAGTTCTAGAGATGTATGGTGGTGATGGTTGCATGGCAGGTTGAACGACACTCAGTTGTATGCCTAAAAATGCCCCAAATGGTAAGTTTTGTATTTTACCAGAAAAGATATGTGAAGAAAGAAGTTAGCTAATTCTTTATTGAGGAAGAACCATGTGAAAAGTTAATGAGTTCAAATATAAGCTCTCCTGTGTGGAGATTTCTGGACCTACTAAACATAGAGCTTCCATATGATCCAGCAATTCCACTCCTAGGTATTTACCCAAAGGACACAGAAACATCCATTCCAAAGAGCACCTGCACCCCTGTGCACCCCTGTGTTTATAGCAGCACTGTTTACAATAGCTAAGCTTTGGAAACAACCCAAATGCCCAAAAATAGATGACTGGATCAAGAAGATGTGGTACATATATACCATGGAATATTACTCAGCATTCAAAAAAGATAAACACATGCAATTTGCAGCAACATGGATGGCGCTGGAAGGGATCATGCTCAGCGAAATAAGCCAAAAAGAAAAAAAAATACCGGATGGTCTCACTCATAGCAGGAATCTAGAAAACTTAAATAAGGGACCAGGAAAATGAATAACTATAAGAAAGTGAAAATCAAAATCAACAAAAAACTATGAACCAGAGACACTTTTAGGGGGCGGGGCGGGAGGGGAGGGATTGGGTTCAGAATGGGGGGCTGCAATTGTATGGGGAATATAAAAATAAAATTTATTATTTTTTTAAAAAAAACAAACAAATATAAGCTCTCTCCTTATGAATATTTAGTCTTATTAAAAGAATACTTTCAAATACATACAATTTTGATGTTACTCAAGTAGTTCAATTTGTATGAAAATGTGATAGTAAAATAAATCATATTGTTATAGATTAATTTAACTGTGACTATCTGTAAAAGTCATTTTAGTTTATTGTAAGTTTTTCTTTTTCTAATTATCAGTAAAACTGTTGACACTTATATATAGTTCAAACATAAGCCTTAATTGGCTCCATTAATCTTCAGGTTTTCTTTTTAGGTTCCGTTTAAGTCCAGCTGCCCGCAATATTCTGGAAAAACATGCACTGGATGCTAGCCAGGGCACAGCCACTGGCCCTCGGGGGATATTCACTAAAGAGTATGTGTGTGCTTTTTGTATTAACTAATTTCATTATTTATCACAATCATCTTTTTCAGAAAGTATTTAATGAAAAGCTTATTCATTGTAAAGATTTAAAGGAAAGTATATTCTTTTAATTGCTTTTGTCAGTATAAAATTATAGTCTATGCAGGGGTTGTTTTCTGAATAATTGCAGCATTACTGAAAAATAGTTCTAATTTGGTAACTAAGCCAGATCTTTAGAAATGACAATAAATGCAGAAAATTAGAGTGCAAACTGGTGAAACTTTATATTGTTTTTAGTTTGTATGAAATAATCATGTAATCACATTTAACTCTTTCGAACATGGAAATATACTTTTAGAACTAATTTTATTCTTGTTCATTTGGATTTCATTCATTTGTATGATCGAAACATTTTCCCGTTGCACTTGGGTCACTTTTTGGATTTTCTTTTCCATTCCATTGTCCCTCTTGCCTATGACTTATAGTACTAGACTTTTAATTATAAATATTTTATAGTATACTTTAAAATCTGATATGAGTTATCCTGCTTTTTTAATAAGGCAGGTTTCTTGGTTTCTTCTCATTTTATTATTCTTCCATATGATCTTTAAATAATCTTTTACCCCACTGGTGGAGTTGGACAAGGAAGCTGGTATTTTAGGGATTGTATCACATTATAAATTAACTCAGGGAGGAGGAGATAAATTAATAAGGTAATCCAGGTAGAGTTAATGCTCAAATGTGGATTGGAAGATCTGATAAAGATCTTCCATAAGGATAGAATCCAGAAATCTTTGAAAAGGATTGAATGTGCCGCATAGACCAAGATAGCAGTAAGTAAGGGAATTGGAATTAGGGTCCGGTGATGAAATTTCGGTTCCGTAAGTAGAAATAAAGGGATCAGGAAAGCATCTGTCTTGGTGAAGTGAGTGCCTTGCTTGGAATGTGTTGTCATTATGGACAAGCCATGCAGGCATCAGGATCACCAAGGTGAAGATGTATCTCGGGAGATAGTTTTGGACTAAAGAGGTAGGTTTGGTAGGTAATAAAGAGGTAGTTAACCGACTTCATCAGTAGGTGGACTTTTTTAGAGGAAAGAAATTCCTGGTTGGAGGATACCTGGGAGATGGACAAAGCATCAAGGAAGATGGGGTCTTAGAAAAAGCTTTTGAAGTTGTTGCTTAAATGACCTTTTAGAAAGGAATGCAGGGGTCTGACTGACATTAGTGAAATGAAATAAGAGTTTTCTTCTTTTCTCCCTTCTCTTTCCTTCCATGCTTAATATATGTATGATAAATAAATGGTTTTTTCCAAACCTGAGTTGAAAGCTGTAATAGTATCCTAACATTTCCTAAGGAGAATAAAATGGTATGGCCTTCCTGGATGCCCTAAAGAAGCAGTGTTAAAGAGTTTTTTTAATAAAAAAATGTTGCCAACTTTCTATTCAGGTCTTTTCCCTGTCCTTTAACCAGCTATCACCGGAGAGTCAATCTTTGGTCTTCCAAATATGGCATACTACAAAAGATTTTGTGAGAAAAATGAATCCTTAAGTCAGGCATTATTGGGGATTTTTGCTTTGTATGCTACTGTCTGTTTTTTATTTAACATTCAGATGAGCTTTGGGAAAAAAAAAACTTCTGCTTGGTGTCACTACAGAAGTGTCATCTTCTGACAAGATTGAAAAAGTTCAGGCTTTGGCATAAGTGGCCCCCAAACACCTTAGTACATGTTCTTGGAGTAGTGCGGGACATCCGTCTTCTTTATCCTGTCAATGAAAAGTTAAGCAGAATAGAAAAATCATTTCCAATGACCAAGGAAGTGCTTCTGACGCATTGTAGTTATAAAGAAAATCATAAGAGTTAGCATTGCTGTTTTAATGTTGCATTAAAGCAATTGTATTGCTCAGAATAAATGTTTTGGAAAATATATAGAAACTTTTCTTTGCTTGTGCATGCAACTATTTTAAGAAAACAACTGCTAGGGTCACAGAAGCAGAACATATTTAGGTTCCTTGCCCGCAGCCTGACATCTGTGGTATAATACTGTCTTAAATCATAGTTGTTAAATGATTGTATTCAGACCACAGCATCAGGAATCTGGAAGGCATGACAGGCAAGTGTCTAGTATTTATTCCTTTGTAAAACTAATTCATGGCACATCTAAATGAATTTAGGGAACTTTAAATCAGGATCTCTAACAGAAATTTCTGCCATGAGTGTTCTCTCCCATTCTGCAGAAGTGTGTGGTGTTTTAGTTTTTCTCCTGATTTTTATAGCTTTTATTGTCCACCTAATTCTTCAAGCTTAGTCTGATTAATTATGTAAAGGATAGAAATCATTAAACTCATTCTGTTCATTGTAGAAACTTAACTGTTGGCTATTACTAAACAATAATTAGCATTTATACTTTATGAGGTATGTCAGTATAAAATCAGCAATAAAAGTTTACTGTGAACCAGTGACCAGAATTGATTTTCTCCTAACTTGTCTATGATTAATGACTCCTTATGTTATTCTACACCAACTGCTGATTTACCCAAGGATCTTAATTTTTACAGGGATGAATTATACTGCCTTTTCTTCATAAAATAGTAATAATTATGATGATATGAAGTAAATTGTCTATTAGTGTGACCAATCTTCTTTGTTTTATTTTTTAGTAGATGCATTAAGACATTAGCATTTTGGGTACCAGATTCTTCCCAAGTGCTCATTTTTGCTTGTTTTGTTATTAACTCATGATACTGAGTAAAACTAGGAATCCCCATATAAGGAAATTAATGTGTTTTGGATATGTCATTCTGGAACTAAATTTTAATTTGATTTGAAATCCAGGTAAATAAAATTTATTAATTAAAAAAAAATAAAAAAAAATAAAAAAAAATAATAGCTTTTGTAGAGAGATATATTTAATTACCTTATAGAATGAAAAAAGACTAGTAATATTAGACTGTGTCCTTTGAAAACACTCAAAGCAAAATATCTTTCATTAAGGACATTTTTCTGAGTCAACGGAAGGCTTATTTTATATCAGTGCTCACACTTTTGTCTGTCTGTCTGGGGTTTTGGCTCAGGATATATGTGCCCAGGGATTGTGTTGGCAGACTCATTATTATATGTAAATACTATTATTAACTGGACAATGGTGCTTTTGGTTTTGAATATCATAAGTAAATTTAAAATTAATTTCCAAACAGAAGTGAGCTTATTGTCAAAAACCTTAACAGTGCATAAGATTTGTCCCTGGGACATAAACTTACTCTTGCTTACTCAGTCTTTTGTGGCTCATCCTATTTGAAGAACCCTCCTTTCACCCATCACTGTCTCATTTCTCTTGTTTATATTTTCTTCATGGGCACTTTTCATTTGTTTACTTGCTTGATGTATGACTTCCTGATAGAATAAAGCCCCTTGATGGGAAGTGTTTTGTTTGATATTATATCCTAAACACTCGGAATAGGTCAGGTGGTTGAGGAACAATTGAATTGCTCATGGAATCTTAACCTCTTGTGTCTGCTTACTCATCTGTCACTTGGAAGTTATAAACTTCAACATGACTGGTGTTAGATTAATAATAACTTGAGCATAATCCATACATAAGGGAGGCTAATTTTTCTACTTTACAGTACTTAGGATCCAAGAACATGAACATTTAAGATTTCTTTGTCAGTCTCACCTCTTACCTTAAATGTCAGTTCTTTAATTTTAAAACGAATTACTTATAAGTAATGTATTTAAGTCCATGGATTCCTTTCTGGACCTGACATAAAGGACAGAGTCAACTTCCTAAAGAATTGTAACAGTTCACACTGGAGGAGGTGGGGGTTATCCCTCTAAGGATGCACCATCAATTATTGCAACAAATTCAATAGCTTAAAACAACACCTGTTGTTACCTAAGAGGTTTATGGGTCAGAAGTCCAGGCCCAGTGTAGCTGGGTTCTCAGGTCATGGTCTCACAAGGCTAAAATCAAGGCATATACAGGGTCACGGTCTTCTCTGAAGCTTGAAATCTTCTAAGTCAAGGTGTTGACAGAATTTGCTCCTTGGAGCTATAGGACTCTGACCCCTGTTTTCTTGCTGGCTCTCAGCCAGGAACCACACTCAGCTCCTAGAGGCCTCCTTTAGATCCTTGCCTTGTATCATCCCCGTTAGGCAGCTCACAAATGCCCGTTTGCTTCTCCCATGCAGCAGGAGCATCTCTCCCTTCAGATTTCTTCTTTCAGGAATCCCAGTTTCTGTCATGGAAGTGACATCTGTTACAGACACACTCAGTAGGGACTATATGAGATGTGTACACAAGGAACAAGAATATTGAGCTATCTCAAAATTTTGCTACATGCTGCCAGAAGATTCTAAGTAAAATCATTCTAGGGAGGATAATTGTCATCTCAGACATGATCAATAGGCGCTAGGTTTTACCCTTTACCAGTTCTTTTGACAGACAATACCAAAGTATTAACTGTGTTTGAGAAATGTAAAAAATATAATCCATTTATATATGTGTCAACCTGAAGTTGTTTATGTTATGGAATGCCTTTTTAAATTGTTTAAAATTATTGTATTCAAAGTATTTTTAAATGTAAAACTTTTTTTGACTTGTTAGACATCAGATTTTCAGAAAAATTTTAAGAAAATACTTTACTTGATACCCATTGTATATTAGCATAAATTGAGAGCTTGACATATTTAGTAGCTTAATTTATATCCTCTTAATAAAATAGGTATCTTTGTTTTATAGAGAAATACAAAGACAAGTCTGTTACATGTTACTTTTCATTCTGAATGCTGCTGTGAATTAGTTTCTTTACATTAGGTTGTCCTGATAGCATTTGGACAGAATTTTAAGTAATGCAATTTCCTGGCCATAAGCAAGCTAATTTGCATGGGAATAAACATTGATTGGTAAATGTCCTAATGATAGTCATAGATAAGGTTGACATTTTCTGAATGCCATGTGCAAACTATTTCACAAGTATCAAGAATGAGGATATGGTTTGATTTATGAATTGCTCACCTACCAAATGATACCTCCTCTTCCCCACTCTCCCACTCCTCGGGGGAAAAAAGAATACTAATTTCCTTTTTTAAAATAGCTGTCTATATCCAATACTTTCGTAAAATTCTAATTTTGCTTGGTTTTTGAAAATGTACCAATATTGTAGCTGTTGAGAAATCAATATGAATCAGCAGATCAGGTTAAAGACAAGATTTGCCTGAGTATACAGGCTTCTGCTGTGGTCCAGGCAAGGGGAGGCTGAGCACTTCCTCCCCTCTGGTTGTCCCATGTTCCAATGAATTGGAGGCTGAATTGAGAGTCAGTGAGTTAATAGGCTGAGGGGAGGCAATTGGGTAGGAGGCTGAAAAAAAAAAAAAAGATTAATTGTGCTTGACATCTATATATTTCTATCTTTCATGTCTCCTCCATTTTCTGAAAGTTCTCTTACATTATTTGTTGCTAATCATGATTATGCAATTTCCTCACATCTTCAGAGATGCTCTCAAATTGGTCCAGTTGAAACAGACGGGCAAGATCACTGAATCCAGACCCACCCCAGTTGCTCCACCCACTCCTGTCCAGCCTTCGCAACCACAGGCCACAGCCATGCCATCTTATCCCCGGCCACTCATCCCACCGGTATCAACTCCTGGACAACCCAATGTAGCGGTAATGTCATCTGAGTCGATTTTTCCATATTTAAGATTTAACTGAGAGAGAAAATAAGAAACGTTATTTTATGTTTTACAAGTACTTTTACCAGTCCACATTAGTAGTAACTAATATACTTCAAATGCTTTGTTTTGCAGATTTTCTAGGACAAACAAAACTTGTACAATGCTAACTTCCAAATAAAACATTAGAGATATGATTCAATTTTAAATTTACTGCAAGTTCCATAACTTCAATACCATATATATGCTCTGTAATCATGAGCCTTCTCAGGTTTTTCCCCCCTTGGGTGCAGTACTAATCATTAGCAGCTGACAATAGCACCTTTTTATGGATATGTTTTGTTTTTTGAATGAGGAAAGTCTCACTATGAAGAACTGTAGACTATATAGCTCATCAACAAAAACAGACCTCTTTGCTTTCAAATTATTCCATTTGACCTTTGTGTCACCCTTTTTAGTATCATTCATGTCATTTGCTTTCCATCCAAAGAAAGGCAGGATATTCAATTTATTTAAAATTGAGTAGACACTGAAATTTTTTTAATGAACAAACCTACTGCTCTTCCTGATGGAGAAATTTATTCTGATCTGGAAACAGTACAAGTTTCATGGAAAATAGATTTTTTCCAATGTACATTAACAATTCATGCTATAGATAAAAAATGTTTATGTGTAATAAAGTATTTCTTTTAAAAATAAGTTTTTCAAATTAGAAAACAAAAAAAGTAACAAGTTAGAGAAGATAAGCCTTTCAAATTCTTGTGGTCTGTAGAGAGCTTTTATTCTAATTGATCAAGTACTTTGCTAACATAAAATGCTTAATTCTCTAAAAGAGCATCTGTTAAAATAAAAAGAAAGAATGAAGCCCAGCTGCTGGGGAAATTTTTGCCTCTGTGTCTTACCCTGAAGTATATTACCCTAGAATGAAGTGATGTTAGGTGAACCTAACATCCAGGGTTATCATGCATTTGTTAGAGGTTCAGGGAATACAATGGGAGAGCTACAGTAAGCTTTCAGGAAGATTTTACTGTCTCATTCATACTTTAACTTAGGAACTTTTAGAAACTATGGTACTTCTGAGGGTTTGTTTTTTTTTTTAATTACAAACCAAAATAGAAGTACTTTGGCAGATTATTCAGTATATTAGATAATCTTTTTCTACTCTTTGCATTTTTATAAGTAAGAATTGCTTTTAGTTGGTTTGTTGATTTATTGGCTATTGAGTTTTTTTTTTTTTTTTTAATTTTATAGAGGCATGTTTTATTTATTTATTTGTTTGTTTGTTTGTTTGCTTTGTTCATACATGCACTGGGTACAGTCAGAAGCGCGGGAGGGTGAGAGAATTCACCAGAGCCAGAGCGGGGAGCAGAGCAGGCAGAAGGACCAAAGTACACTGCTGAGGGGAGCAGCGGGCGGCAGGAGAGGCCTGCGCGCCATGTGGGACCCTCCTCTGGTGGCCGGGGAGCAGCCGGGGATCGAACCGGCGCCGCTGAGGCCGCAGGCGGCTTCGCAACCCAGCGCTCAACCGCTGCGCCACCGGGGAGGCCCCTATTGGCTATTGAGTTTTATTAAGAAATGATGTTTGTAACAGAAGTTGTTTGCAGTTGGTATCTGTGTATGTGTATGCATACACTCTCAGACACCCATGGGGCAATTATTTGTAATTTGGTATATTTTCTTTTCATCACCTTGAACTTGGTGTAACATAAGATGTCCCCTATACAATTGAAACATGAATTTTTCTATAATCCCATACTATAATGTAAGAAATACATTTTTCTTATATACTGTGTCTTATATGTTTTATTTTCATATATACTATGAAGTCATAACTGCTCACATTTCTTTATTCTTCTTATACTAAGAATTTGTAATAGTACTTCTCCTACAATGGTTTTTATTATAAGTCAGTGAGGCTAGATTTCAATTATGAAGTTTGTTTGTTTGTTCTTCTTCTATTTATAATTTAAAGGGCAGATTGCTATTTCTTTGCAGGGCACATTCACTGAAATCCCTGCTAGCAATATTCGAAGAGTTATTGCCAAGCGGTTAACTGAATCTAAGAGTACTGTGCCTCATGCTTATGCTACTACTGATTGTGACATTGGAGCTGTTTTAAAAGTTAGACAAAGTCTGGTCAGAGGTTGGTAAACTTTAATTTACTCCTGTAATACACTTGCTATATTTTATTTCAGTTTAATCATCTGGGCTTATTGAAATGCTAGAAAAAATAATTGCTTCTCTTTTTTCTGTGAGAATATTTGGTTCTATCATCATTTATGGTATGATACCTGAACAAAAGAGTCTTTATTTAAAATAAACACATGTACTGCTCTTCTAATACATTATAAAGCATACTTAAAATAACGACATTTGAAAAGGATGAGAAAAAATGATTTGATAAACTTGGCTGTATAACCACAGAGATACTATTTGTCTTTTAGACATGTAAGAGTATGTTCTTTTCTTTCTGGCAGTGGTTATAATGTATCCTTCAAGTTCTTGTGTATGATATCTGAGCCATTTAGAAAAAATGTAATCAAGGCTTAGAAGTGAACTTTCATACTCGTGGTTAATATTACATATCCAAGATCTTAATGCAAGTGTTTCTAATCAAGGGAGCCTTTCTGAATTACTGACTAAAAGAAACAAAAGCTCGTCATTGTCATTGCAGTTTGTAATTTACAAATTTGAAATCATAATGGTCAATATTAAAGTTTTATTATGAAGATTAATTTTAATATATGTATTTTTTTTCAGATGACATTAAAGTATCAGTAAACGATTTTATCATCAAGGCTGCAGCTGTAACCCTTCAAGTGAGTAGTAAGCTCCAGAAAATATTTGCTTCTAAAACAGTCTTAATCTGGGGATTTTTTTAATGATAAGTAGAACTCTTAATTTTAAGTCACAAAATCTATAATTTTATTGCTAAAATGATTCTATCACTTAATCACACTCCCTCAGTTTTATAGGTGAAATAACCAAGAACCAAAAGGTCTTAGAAGTAATTGCAGCAGAATAATGATGACTTATTCAGCAAATACTAATTAATCCCTTAACTTGTGCTAAATATGTTCCAGACGTTCTGAGATACCATAGTGAAAGAAAAGCCTACATGTATTCTGTTCTCATGGGGCTTATATTTTAATTTTGAGAGACAAACATATGTATGACAGACAGTAAAAGTGCTTAGGAGAAGGAAAAGGGTAAGGGGACAGAATAATTAGGGGTGTTTCTTTCCAAAGTTAGGCAAGGAAGGCCTTTCTGACAAGGTGTTAATTGAGACAAGGCATGCAAAAAGAGGGAGTGAACCATGTCTGGTTAGAAAAGTACTCCACCCAAAGGCGCTGAAGAACAGAATATGTTTCAGAGACAAAGCCCTGAGAATTAAGTCTGCCTGCAGTGGGGAGGATAAGAGATGAGATTAAATATTTTAAAAGAGGGAGTATTTAAGGGAGACTTGAAGTCCATGAGGCCTTGTTGACCATAGTAAGGACTAGGTATTGGATTGTGAATGAGAAGGAAGCCTTTGGAGGATGTAGAACGGAGGAGTAACATGATCCTGCTCAAGCGATACAAAGGAAAAGGCGAGACACCTCTGGTTGGGTGAAATACAGCCTGCAGAGGCAAGGGTGGGAGTTGTGAGCTCTCCTAGAAAGCTGTGGGCTAAAACAATGGCTTAGACTAAGGTGGCAACAGTGGATTTGAGATGAGGTGAAGATTTTGGTTTACATTTCACAAAGAGCCAGTGAGATTTGTTGATGGGTTGCATGTGGGGTGTTTTGAGAAAGAAGGTAGATGATTTTGTCTGGACAAAGTAGCAGAAATGAAGGTTTATGTGTGCTCAGATTGGGAAAATGGGAGAGAAGCAGGTGTAAAAGCACAGAATCGAGAATTTGGTTTGGGAAATAATTAAATTTGAGAAGTCTAATCAAGCCCCCATGCACGTGGCAGTGAGGCATGACACAAACCTGCAGTCAGTGGAGTTATAAGATAAAGGTCTGAAACCCCTGTTTCTGCGCCATTTTCTTTCACATCTTCTTTTTTATAACTAGGCTAATTCTCTGTGGCACTAAGTGCATATTACAGACTATCTTTAACTAGGTGTATATTTATATACTTTAAATTTTTTTTAGATCTTGAACAATAAAATATTGGAGAATATTAAAGGCATGCCTTTTCAGCCAATCAGTATGTAAATACCTGTATGACTTTTATCTTTGACCAAGTGTTTTGAATTATATTAATGAATTTCTAACTAAGAATCATTCTTGCCCTCTTTAGGTGACTCTGTAGTGGTCATTAGCTATTTCTTAGTATTTTATAATTTTGTGTCTAGAGCTATAAGCAGTTGTAATTTAAATTTTGCAACAGCTTTCTCAGGCTTTTCTTTTTATATCAGTGGCTTCATACAATGAATTTGGATACTTACTCCTTCTCCTTTTTCTGTGCTTGCTTCAATACTGTAAAGATTTTTTTCCTTCCCATTTTGTGGAATTCACCAATGCAAATATCTGATCAGTTCTGTGTGAGGAAGAGGGCCTTGGCAACTTTCCCATTTATTTCCTAATAATTGCTGACCTGTTTAATTTTCAGCTTTTTATTAAATCAATTTTGGATTATTTATGTATTTCCAGAATATAATTCTGGGAATATTATTTCATGTAGATTCCCAAACTTATTAGCATGGAGTCATTTAAATTTGTTTCTTAGAATTCTTTTACTGTCTTCTGTGCCTGGTGTTTTTCTAGATTCTCACTTTTGTTCCATATTTGTGTTCTCACTCCTTTTATAGTGTTTCATTATGTATTCTTTCATCTCCTTAGGTTTATAATGGTTAGAAAGACTTTGTTAGAAAATTTGTGCAATCATTTTAGTTATTTTTTATTAATAAGTAGGCTTATGATGATGAATTTTCTTTTGGAAACTACTTAATCTATGTCCCACAGATTTTTGTGATGTAACTTTCTAATTAAATATATTTGCTAGATAGTCTTCCTTTGTGAGGTTTTTTGTTTTTTTGTTTTTCTTTTACTTTGGTGTTGTCTGTGAAGAACTGAAAATCTTCTATCAGTTGGGACTTCATTATTTTGACACTGGCATTATTGAATGAAAGAGCTAAACCTCAAAAGAAGGAGAAGTGAAAAGAGCAGTTGAAACATAATAGAAGTGAGCATAGCTTGCCATTGAGAAACCTGAGTAAAGTAGGAAATTCATCTTAGGGGAGTGGTCAGGAATAAAATTAAATAGGTTGGGTGGAATCAGTTGTGGCTTGCCTTGCTTAAAGGACACATCCTGAAAGGCTGAGACTTACTCTGTAGAAAACAAAGAATTTTTGGAAAGAGAAAAAAGTTTGTTATTTTTGTTTTTTTGTATCATCTTCTATGATATTTGGCAACATTATGAATATACACTGTTTCCAGGCATTTAGTCATTTCAGATGGTATTTTCATTCTCATTGTGATAAGTATATTAAACATAAGCATAGTCATATGTTGCGTATATATGAAGCCTAAGACATCTCTCTTAATAGGGGAGTCCTTTATTAAGGGCCTTCTGATATCTCCCAGGACTACACCAGAAAACCAGACTTCCTTCATGCCAGAGGAATGATGTGGCTGAATGTCACTGTTTGCCTCCATCCCCTCATTGTCAAGGTCCTGCTGGTCATTATGTGAGGCAAGAGGTAGAGCAAACACTAAGTACTTTGTAGTAAATTCAACAAAGGCAATCCTTTCTTTCTAACCCTGATAGGAAGAGACCAAAACGTGCACAATCAGAATTTCTTCAAACTTCCTTTTAAAAAGATTGCTTAATTATTGTTAAACTGAATTTTGATTTATTTCCTTCTGTCTAGCTATATTCACTTTTAAAAAATGCTAATAATGTTAACTATTTTTCTTGGTCTGAAACTGCTGCATTAGTAACATGTTTTTTCTGTTTCTTTTTTCTAGCAAATGCCAGTTGTTAATGTAAGTTGGGATGGAGAGGGTCCAAAGCAACTGCCTTTTATTGACATTTCAGTGGCTGTGGCCACAGATAAAGGTTTAATCACACCAATCATAAAAAATGCTGCTGCTAAGGGTATACAGGAAATTGCTGACTCTGTAAAGGTATGTCTTAGGAAATAGTGTGCTTTCTAAATGAAACAGTTTACTGTCTGATAAAATGTCAACATGATCTGGTCACACTGATATACAGTATAGCTGTAGATATAAAATTTTTAATTTCTAAGTGGTTGTCAGTTAGGTACTTAGGCCTTTTAAGTTTTTATCCAGTATAACCTATTTCAACAACATTGAGAACACACAAATTTAGAGGTCACATACAGATAAGGGCCAACTGTATTCATGTTATAAATCAGTGCTTTCTTTATCTAAGTTGACAATTCAAGCACTAAATATTTTGAATAAATTTTAAAATTAAAGCTGAAACTATAGTTCTGTGAATGTACTAATGGATAGATTTCACTGTAACAGCATTTTATTCTTGAAAGCAAGTTTATTCATTTCCTCTCTAAAATTAAGACCACTAAAACTACTTAAGCTTTTTTTTTTTTAGCAGAAGTGTCACATATTTTGAAGTGTTGCCATTGAAAAGTTCCTATTCATTTAGATAAATGATTCTTTTATGTTTTCATTTACCAAGCACCCTTGTGTGTGTGTGTGTGTGTGTGTGTGTGTGTGTGCATGCACTCATACCCCCATGTATGGTAGACCAAGTCATAAGGGGGATATAAAAAAAATGTAGAAGCAACTACTTACTACCTTGGGAGTGCTGATAATATATAAATGTATAGACCTTCTTTACCAAAAGAAATGAATGTAAGTTACCCTAGTTTTAAAATTATACTTCGTAGAGTTTCGAGTTAGATCTAATTGAAGGGAACTTTAATGGGGTTAACAAATTTAGGTCTTTCTTCATTCCTCTTTGAAATAATTTGCAGAGGGTAGTTTTATAGATAAAAATGCAATTTTTTTCTTAATTAAGAGAGAACATTTATTTGGCCAGTTCAAAAGTCAAAGTAATATAGATTGATTTACTTAGGACAATGCATGAATTTTTATTCATCAAGAGTTTTCAGTAACAATGAGAATACATGTTTGTTAGTGTTTTTGTGAAGTTCAGATGAGATTGAATTTAAGTTCAGATGAGATTGTGTAGAGTTGGAATCTTCTTTAAATATATTGCATATTAAAACATGGTAAGTTATCTTTGATTTTCACCAGTTTACCCATTTTACAACTATAATACATATTCTTGTTGGCATTCTCTGTTCCTTACATCCTGAGAGAACCTAAGTTGGGGAGTTGAGGTAGTGAAGGGCATTCACTACCCAGCATTCAGAAGGGCAATCCAGGCCCTTTGGAATGTTCTCGTGCCTCTGGTAGTCCTTGAACATTTCTTGTAATTGCCAGCAACTCATAAGGTTTTCTGTGCTCTGCTTCTCTCTTTGTGCGTCTTACATATCTGCTGCTTCTCTGTCAGTGTTCCCCTGTCTCTAATTATACACTGTGCTTTCAGCTAAGCACTTTATATCATGTTAGCCCAATAATATAGTTGGAATCTTAACTTCTCCACTTTGAAACTGGGAAACTGAGTTTTAGCACCTTAAAGAAATTTGTCCACGCTTGAGAAATTGTCAATTTACTTAAACCTAAGCATTTCTTATATTTCATTTTCTTAGACCTTCTTTGACTTCCAGAGCTAAGGTAGCTTCCTGATGTTGCCCTGCTTTGTTATCTTCACATGGTCCATCAATCTTTGAAATTACTTTGTTCTATGTGCCTTATTATTGCCTGATGTTGACTGTCTTGTTCATTGCCATGTATATATGTAGTGTTTGGTGTTAAGCTTGGAGGATAGTAGATGCTCAGTGATTTTTTAAAAAGAGATTTTATTAAAAACTTTCTATGAATCTGAAGAGTTTGTGGGACCCTAGAAATCTTTTGTGCACCCCAGGTTAAAAACACAGACATGTGCACTTAGTGTTTTCTTCTTTAATCCCAATAATCCCAAAGATGTCAGTATGTGGACTAAAGCATGCCTCAGCCAAGTTCATGTTTGTGTTATAGTAACAAACCTTAGATCTCATGCTGTTCTTCATTAATTCTAAGTTTCAAAGCACAGAGACAGAATTCACTTCATTAGTATTCTGTAAATTTTTTAAATGAATTATTAAGAAGTATGATATATTGTAGAAATATTTGATAATCATTTTGTATTGTAGCCTTTTAGATGGATGCTTCAGGTAACATGCTTTCATTTTTGAGTTCACATTGTCAGGGAATTCCTGTGAAAATTAGGAATTTTCGGAGCAACAGTTTCATCAGCATCTGTCCTTATTCAAGAACCTCAGATTTCGCTGGTAGAAATATCCTGCTGATGTATTTAGTGTCTGCAGAGATTTTTTTTAACTGCGTTATGTGTGTCTGCAATCTCATTTTTAAAAAGAATATGGTTTTCATTTGTTTTAGCCTAATAACTCATCAGGATATGTTGAGATCATCTGCCTCTAAAGAAATGCCTTTCAAAGTTCATGTGATACGTGCCTGTTCAAATCATGTGAACACTTAATTGCTTAGGGCATGAGAAAGAAAAACATGTATATAGCTTGTTCTTTTGACTTCTCTTATTCTAAGGATTATATAAGTCTTAAGTTCATGTTTTCAGTTTTCAGTTTTTTACAAGTAACTGTATCCAAATAATATAAATCTCTGTTACTTCCTTTGGCAATAAAATGTTGAGATAATTTAAAAATTTTTGAAGAATTTTTTTTTCAAAATTTAAATCATTTATGGTTTAAAATTGTTACCAATATTGATTGCATTTATACCTATATTAGTTTGTCTGTATGCTCTAGATTTATTTCGTGTATTAAAATGACAATAGCTTCAATTTTTTCTACTCTTAAATAATTTGTTAATTTTTCATATGTAATGACAAGCTCTGTTTCCTTGTTTTTGAAGCATTGGAAAATAAAAATTTAAAGAAGCGAGTTTAGTTGCAAATACAAATAAAGGAAAATTAAAATACTTTTATTAATGTCACTCTCAGACATTTCCCTCTGTAAATTTTTAGAAATTAGTGTTGTCAACAGGTATATGAAATTGCAACATTCTTACAATCCATATAACAATGTAAATTGAACCAGTTCATTCAGGAGGTGCTTCAGCTATAAGATCAAGACCTGCCTCCTATCCCCTCAAAATGTTCATTTTCTAGGACTTAGTAATTTTCCTCCTAAGAACTTATATGAAATAATTCAAAGGAAACCAGTGAACCACATTATAACACTGGGGAACAGACTAAAAGTAAATCGTGGTAGATGTAGTGTTTGGTGTTAAGCAGACATTAGAAAATCACTTATAAAGGCTAATACCATGAAAGGTACTTAAAATATTGAAAAGTGAAATACAAATGTTTGGTTCTTTTACAACTACCTGAAAGTATTTGTTATAGATAAGAAAGCAAAAACTTGAAGAGGAAAACTGTTATGTTGGGTATGGGTTTGTAGCCATTGGATAATTTGTTTAAAGTACTGGACTGACATGAATGATTGCTTCTAATATTTTGTCTTACAAGAAAGCATTTTATAGGAAAAATAGAAAATTACAGTATATATTTAGAAAACACTGATACATTTTACATTATAATGGCATACAGGGTAATTGAAGTATGAAGAATTTTTCAGAGGAAAGTGATTTTTCTGGAGTTTTGAGTCACATCTTTAGTTTCTTAGATTATCTGTACTCTGCTTGCTAATTATTTAAATTGTATTAGAGAAATATATATATATATATAGGATAATTTGTTTGGATAATTGGATAATTTGAGATATATATAAGCTATATATATATATATATATATCATGTTATAAAGTCAAATCCATGCTCATCAGAGTTGAGAATATTCCCTGTACAAATATTTCAAGGGACAAGTACAAGTGAAATAAACCAGAAGAAGAAAGAGAAATACATGATGGTGTCACTTATATATGGAATATAGAGAAACCAAACAAAGGGTCAACCAAAGACAAATTATAAACTAATCTTTGAAAACTGAAATGTGGGGGGCAGGCTGAGTGAGCATAGTAGACTATGCAGAGGACTAAGGGTGCTTTGGTGGTGGGAGAGTATGATGACCAAAGGGGGGAAATCCTATATTGTCAAAATGTTAACAAAAATATAAAACAATGGATCTACATTAATAGAAATATATTTCAAATGATAAAGTCAATGCATGACAGTGTTTGTTGGTTGACATGCTCTGTATTTTTTTCAGGTTTTATCAAAGAAAGCAAGAGATGGAAAATTGTTACCTGAAGAATATCAAGGAGGTTCTTTTAGGTAAATTTAAACTTTTAATCATCAGTAGCATCAGGCAGATTTATAAGACTTATGATGACCCTGTCAACCGGTGTCATTTATTTTTTGAAACATGTTTTGAAATTTAAGCTAAATATCACATACTGTATTTGGATAACAGAAAATATGTTTTAGACTAATCAGACTTTCATATTAAAGCTAGTGGGAACCCTCCAGGATCAGCTAGTTAACCCACTTAGATGTCCTTGGAATGACATTCAGGGTCTGAATTTTTTTTTAATTTATAAGTAATTTATAAACTTCAGCTTTTTTCTACTTGTGATGTCTTTTCCTTTCAAGTACTTTGAGGAGAATACTAACATTTAGACCCTTCAGTTATTAACAGTTCTATTTTTGTTTAAGTATCACGTACATACAATAATGTACACTGAGTGTGGCTTGAGTGATTTGCAAAGTAAAGAAACCTGTGAAACCAACCAAAAAGCAAGATGTAGAACATTACCAATGTCCCAGGAGCCTCCCTTTACCTTTCCAGATACCATCCCCTGAAAGATAGCCACTATTCTGGAAATTAGAAGCATAGATTTATTCTGTTAGCTTAGATCTTTATATATTCTTTAGTGTCTTTAATGTTAAGTGAATTTAACATTAATGGCTGTGAAATTAACCATGTTACTATGTGAAGCAGTTATTTACTTGTTTCACAGATTATATTAACACAGTACATGATATTCTCTAGTGCACAGCAAAAGGATGGCAGAATCTGCTTACTGATTTTGGGGAATTTGTGTTGGTTAAAGTTTGTGCTATTACAGATTCATACTAGTGTTTAATGGTGAACATATGAACATATTTTCGTTTTATAGATCTGAAAGTAGAATTGCTGCCTTAAAACTTTTCAGACAGGGCCTCCCCGGTGGCGCAGCGGTTGAGCACTGGGTTGCGAAGCTGCCCGCAGCCTCTGCAGCGCCGGTTCGATCCCCAGCCACAGGCGAGGGTCCCACATTGTGCGCAGACCTCTCCTGCTGCCCACTGCTCCCCTCAGCGGTGTACTTTGTCACTCTGCCTGCTCTACTCTCCGCTCTGACTGTACCCAGTGCTTATATAAATAAATAAATAAAATCTTTTAAAAAAAAAAACTTTTCAGACACTGGCAAACAGTTTTTCAAAATGGTTGTGCAAATTTATACTTCTGTCAACAGTGAATGAGATTGTCAAAGGCTTCATGATCTTGCCAACACATAGTAAAGTTTCAAATTTTAATGATTTTTGAAATGTGTAGTGGTACTCTTTGTGGTCAGAGAAATGCAAAATAATGATATAAATACTGGTTTTCATTTATCTTTCAGCCATTTGGATGTCTGGTAACTCAGATAAAATATCTGTTGAAGCCTCATATCTATTTTTAAAGTGATTTGCAGTTTTTTTTCCAGACACAGAGATGTTTGTAGGATATGTATTTTATTTCAAATAACTTTTCCCACTTTGGAACCTTTTTGATGAACAAGAGTTCTGAATTTTAATGGTCTTATTTATCAGTATTTTCCTTTTACAATGGTACTTTTTGCTTTCTATTAGGAATTATTGCCTATCCCAGAGTCCGAAGTTATTTTTCTATGTTATCTTCTAGAAGTTTTATAACTCTCCACATGTAGATAGATCACTGTTCAATTGATTTTTACTATGTTGTGAAGACAGAGGTCAGGATTCTCTTTTTTTCCCCCCATATGGATATGAAATTGACTCAGCATCATTTTTTGAAAAGATTTCTCCTTCTCCATAGTGTTAAGAAGGTGAACATATATGTGCTTGGTCTTTTTTCCTCTTATATTTGATTGTCCTGTTTGTCTGTTCCTTGCTCAGTGTTACAAAGCTTCAATTTTTGACATCTGATAATGAAAGTCTTCCATTTTATTCACCTTCAGTGTTTTCTTCCCTGGCTCCTGGGATTCATAGTCAAATTGACATTTTTTATTCATACATACATACAAAACAACCAGCCAACCAACCTTGCTGAAAGTTTGATTGGAACTGCATTGAATCTTTTGATCAGTTTGAGGAGAATTAATTTCTTTATAGCATTAAGTCTTCAAGTTAATAAACATGGTATTAGCCACTATTCAGCTCTTTAATTTCTTTCAGTTAGGTATTGTAACTTTTTGTATAGAGGCCTGATGTGTATTTCATTAGAGCTATTTGTTTTTTTGATACTATTGTAAAATCATTTTAAAATTTTATTTTCTAATATAGCAATTTTTATAGATTTTTATATGTGTAATCAGTTCATCTGTGAATAAGTTTTCTTTATCTAGTCCTTATACCTTAAATTGGTTTTTCTTGCCATAGTGCACTTACTAGAACTTCTTGTTCCGTGCTAATAAATGTTTATATTAGATATGATATTTGTGTGCTGATATCTGTTGATACTACATAAATGGTAATGTTTATTCTTGATTTTTGAAGAACTTGATGTGAGCTTCTGTAGCACATTTGGTAAAGCAAAAATACATGCTTCATAGGAAAGACTTTTTGACTGAGTACATGCCACTTACAGAGCTGTTTGTTTTCCCCTAGTATTTCCAACTTGGGGATGTTTGGCATTGATGAATTCACTGCAGTGATCAACCCCCCTCAGGCTTGCATTTTGGCTGTTGGGAGATTCCGCCCTGTGCTGAAGCTCACTCAGGATGAAGAGGGAAACGCCACGCTGCAGCAGCGCCAACTCATAAGGGTCACAATGTCGAGTGACAGCCGTGTGGTCGATGATGAACTGGCTACCAGGTTTCTTGAAAATTTTAAAGCAAACCTAGAGAATCCTATCCGACTTGCCTAGTCCTCAAAGATAAGAAGGTGGTCTTTGACATAGTTGCATTACTGTTACCAAGAAATATATACTGTGGAAGACAGGTATTTAAGTGTGAAATGGATAAAATGTTTATTTATTTAAGGTAAAAGAGTTTGACCCAAGTTGTCTTCATTTTCACTTTGGGGTTAATGTTGTAGAAGTAGGTGATAAGTGTAATGAATAAGAGAGAATATTTGATTAGTCAGATCCATTTTAACCTCTGGTGCTAAAAGGGGTGTTAACTAGATGTAAATTATAACTTTGGCTCATTTGAGCATTTTAGAATACTTGAGAATGTATGATAACTTGTAAAATCAAAAAATTATTAGAACCTAATTGTGTCAAAATTAGAACTGGTCTTTAAAGGGATTCCCATGGGACTCCACTGTTACAAGCACTGTTCTAGGTATGTTTGAACTACTCATGTACAGTTTACTCTGGATAAAAGTAACTAAATAAGGGTCATATTGTATTAGAGGTTGTGGCAAAATTATTGAATTTTGTATGTATATAAAGCCATATGTTTCAGAGTGGTTTCTATTAGTCTTATTTTTCACTTCTATAACACTGTGAACTTACAAAGAAGAATAATTAAAAAATACAAAATGAGAGACCAAAACATTGTTTGTTTCAATGATATATTATAGCTAAAATATCTAAACACTTAAAGATTTATTTATTTTTATTTTATGCATACAAGAACTGGGGTATAGGCCAGAGGGGTGGGGGGTGAGAGGATTCACCAGATACAGAGTGGGGAACAGAACAGGCAGATCTACTGAAGTACACTGCTGAGGGGTGCAGCGGGCAAGTCAGGAGTGGTCTGCTGTGCCATGTGGGTCAGCTCCCTGGCCAGGGATCGAACTCATGCTGCAGTGGCTGCGGGTAGCGTCTTAATCCTTTGTGCCACTAGGGAGACCCTAAAATATCTAAGCACTTAAAAGTAAACTTCTTACCTTCATACTAGTTGGTATATAGTAAAATAAATTATACTAGCTAGCTTTTACTGAATATTTTATGTTGGTGTTGATTTAAACACCAAATGTTATGTCTTAGTGTTTTTTAACCATTTTTACTTTGCAGTGCAGTGTGGGGAAATATAAAAATTTCTATTGTATTTTGAATGTTCGGACGCAGTATTTTAAATGTTCAGACACAGAAGATTAGTAAAACTATGCAGTAGATTAGTAATTTCCCTGGAATAGTTTAGAAGGAATTTTACAGGAAGGAAAAGAATTTAAAGATAAGACGACATTAGGAAAATAATGGATTTGGGATGTAAAGTTTTGAAAAAAGAGTAAAAGAGAAATTTATTAAGCAGGTGAAAACTTTTTTTCCAGTCATAAAATGAAACTTTCACTAATTTTGTAAAAGTTAGAAAGCTTATTTCTTTCTTCTAATAACTCTGCTACAACTGACAAGATAACTGTACTGAAACTGCATGGTAATTTAATTAAACAGTCACAGAAAAGCTTATGTTAGAGTTGGCTGACAGGAACCAGAAGAAAGATGATGTGGTACAAGTTGTGTGGTTTGACATGATGAGCCACTCCACTTCTGAAATGATTAGTATTAAGAAGATGCTTAATTCAGTTTCTCAGTTTTAACAAGGCATATTTTTTTTAAGTCTTCAAAAATTTGCTATATTAATTTAACAGTAGCACTAAAAATTATAACCAGTTTCCCAACCTTTTATTGAAAGATAGGTGGTGCTGTAAGTTAATATACATGTATTATAGTTAGAGCATGAGAGGAAAATCAAAGTGGCACTTAAATCTTAGTTTTCAAGGAAAGTTGGTTCTGCTTGCACATTGCATTGTGGTGGGCTTGGTCTTGGGGGAAGTGAAGAAGTGAAAGAACAACTTTTGTTGGTTTGAAGAAGGAAGTAGTGATGCAGAATTATTTTAAGATTAAGGATTAGTCTGTCCACCATATGCAAGATGGGTCAAAATAAGGAGAGGACGGTGGTCCTCAGAAACATTCTGGAAAATTTTGCTGGAATGAAGGCATGAGTTGGTTAAGTTCTGCATTAGTTTATGAACTTCTTTACTACCTTTTTTTTAGAAGATTTATTTATTTATTTATTTATTTATTTATTTATTTATTTATTTATTTATACAAGCACTGGGTACAGTCAGAAGCGTCGGAGGGTGAGAGAATTCACCAGAGCCAGAGAGGGGAACAGAATAGGCAGACTGATGAAGTACACTGCTGAGGGAAGCAGCGGGTGCGGCAGGAGAGGTCTGCACACCATGTGGGACCCTCGCCAGTGGCTGGGGATCAAAGGTGGCCGGGGATCGAACTGGCACTATAGAGGCTGCGGGCAGCTTCGCAGCCCAGCGCTCAACCCCTGTGCCACCAGGGGAGGCCCTTACTACTTTTTATCCCTAAAAAATATCTTTTAACAATAAAATTGTTGTCATCTAATGAAATGTTAGTCACAACTATTAGTCAGCACTTTATAAAACATACGGTACATTTTGATGTAAGATGTTAAATTGTTAATCACATCAGTTGCACTTACTCTACACTTAATCAGTGACTCATCAGCAGTCTGTTTGATAAAAATGGCATCACAAAGCTATCAATGGTTCATAATAAACTACCATCTTCTTCACAGAACTTCTGGTCTTTAGCACATGCTTTGTTTCCCAAGTTTGCATATTGAAATCAAGACTATTTAAGGCCTAGTTTCTACTTTGTAGATTAATGAGCTCTTGGTATAAACCTTGTATTTCAGAGCCTCAAATATTCTTGCCTATAAAATGAGGCAATAGCAGAAGAGAAAATTAACAACAGTGATGGTTCCCTATCTTATTTAATCTTCTCAGTTCCAGAAAGTAGGAATATTCCACTCTCCAGTCATCATTGCAAGGAAGGATAAGAAACAAATTCAGAATAGAAAATGTGATTCCATCATGAAGCTAAGAAATGCCACAGTTAGGATTTGAACCTCCATAGCATCAAAGCACTCACGCTGTCTGGGTTGTAGTGTCCAGCTTTCTAAGTTGTATTGCTGCTGCAGAGATATTGCTGTGTGAACAAAGTTTTTCACTAGCAATCACTGAAGGCCCTGTTCTTCAGTAATAACACTACTGTGTTCAGTATATGACTGCTCTGTAAAAAGTGCTGAGGGATATTTTGTTTTCATAATCACAACTACTATTAACCTGAAATGCTGAAGTTAAGTGTTATAACTTGTACCTCTGAATGGAAAGCTTAGAAAAATATAAGCTTCAGAAACGTTAGAGATTTAGTGCCTCTAGGGATAAAAACATAGACCATTTTGCTTTTAAGAACTAGCTTTGAGTCAGGTTCTAGCAAGAATCTGAGCTAGCAAATCCAGAACCAAAACTGGTTATCTCAGCTTTCATTCTGAAAGCTCCAGGCTTCTATAGTGACAACAGTTTCACTTGGTGTAGTCTTCTCTGGTGACTATCTTAGCAGTAAGGGCCCAGTGGTTACAGCCCATTGGCCAGCAGAGCAGTTCATTGGGATGTCCAGGCCAGACCCGTCAACACTCACCAGGGAAATAGGAAGCAACCCTCCATGGCCCAGGTGACCTCAGCTGCTGAGCATTGGCACCAAGGGGTCAGCAGGCCACTGCAGGTGGAGAGGCCTGGAGCACTGGTGCCTGTCAGGAAAGCCACAGAAGGTGACATAGTTCATATAAGTGAAAGGCAATTAAGTAAATTCAGTAACCAAAGATTGTACATAGGGCATGGGTTGAGATGAAGGCCTCACAGAGGAGGTCACATTTCAACTAGGTTTTTACATTACTGGTTACAACCAGCTCCCTATTGTTGGTGATTTCTTTGACTAATTTTCAGTAGCCAAATATTTAGCATCTGTTATGTACCTAATACACAAGCTCAGCTGTTCATTTTATATGACGTTCACTCAGTGCCTGTACATATGAGTATAATAAACTTAATTCCAACAACAGTTAGGAACTTAGAAAGAAAGCAATGGAGGTTATGTGGCAAAGAAAAAGCCTCTACCCTATAAACTACTCAACAAAGAAATGTTCTTTGCCAGGTCATTATGCCTAAAGAAAATTAGGTTAATTTTCTTTATCATGCTTTATTTAGTTGCAATGTATTTTAATAACTCTACTTCCTACCTCTCCAGCTCATACTCTCTAAAGGTGTCTTGTGTGTGCAAAGGCTGTTTGGTAATGGAATGTCATCTGCTGGGATAGCTACTTCCCTTAGGTATCTTTACATCCATTGTGTTGCTTCTAAGGGCATCATTGTTACATTTATTTTCAGAGAACCATAATCATCTTTGGGCTCTCGCGTAAAACTGTAGGAGCAGGTGAGAGTCAAGGGTTTTTTTTTTTTTTTTTTCTTTTTAAGGTTTATTTATTCACATAAGAACTGGGGTACAGCCCAGACGTGTAGGGGGTGAGAGGATTCACCAAAGCCAGAGTGGAGAACAGAACAGGCAGATTGACTGAAATATACTGCTGAGGGGAGCAGCAGGCGAGGCAGGAGAGCTCTGCTGTGCCATGTGGCTAGCTCCCTGACCGGGCATCGAACTCATGGTGCCGTGTCTGCAGGTAGCTTCATAGGTTGCATCTTAACCCCTTGTGCCACCAGGGAGGCCCCTTTCTTGGTTTTCTTTAAATCATTATCTTTAATGCTAAATATCAATTTAATGTGTTCGTTAAGTGTGTTAAAATGAATGTGGTATAAGGACAGCTTTATTCATGTCCTAGCACCATGCAGTTTTTCATGGGTTACAAGCTCCCGGTTAAATGGCTTTCACTACATACTGACTTAGGCTATTTGAGGACACTTCATTTTGACACCAAGTCAAATGTATTTTACCTCAACCTGTTGACTGAGTACTCGTCAGAATATGATGAGTTTCCAGGTAGTCTCTTTATACTTCGACACAATTTTAGAAGAATGTGAATAAATTTTGTAGATGTATCTGTACCTGAAAGCAAACTATAACCCTTTTGAAAATTTCAATTTCAGCCATTTTTCAGGGAATGCTCAAAGTCACTGCCTCTGAATCGAGAGTATATGCGGCTATGCATCATCTAAGTGGAAACTCAATATTCAGTGGCATGCAGGGCTTTTTAAAAAAAATTTTATTTTATATATTTTTTACATCGTTCATTCTCTTCTCAGTTGTAATAGCCATAAATTCCCACAAATTCCCACCACCAAGACACCGTAAACCATCACCATAGTCTGTTGTGCTCCTCCTTCCCCCGTTTTGATCCCTCTGCCTCCCCCGCCCCAGCTGAATGTCACAAATTTATAGTTTGCTGCCTCCACATGGATGGAGCTGGGAGGGATTATACTGAGTGAAATCAGTCAGAAGGAGAGGGACACAGGTATATTTGTTTCCCTGTTTTCTAAATGAGTCGTCACAACATTAGAAAATATCGGGTAGAACAGCTTCCTAAAAAGTCTTAAAATTAGAAAAACTGCTAACATTTACATAAATTATCATTTACTAGCAAGATTCTCTACAGAGCTTTTATTTTCTGGGTTGATATTTCAATGTAATTTTTCTGGCTAGTATCTAATTGCTTTGTTTTCATTAAATAGATAGAGAGACCTTTGCTCTTCAAACTATGCATACACTGATGATG